AAGTCTCTCTAGTCCACCTAGCGGTTAAGCCAGAAGGACCCCAGTCGTTAAGGTGGCCATTCACTGTGCAAATTTCAGGGAGTTCTTGATGAACCGGCCGATGTTCGCACAGTGGGTGCCGCTGTCGGCACCCTATCGGCCGGCATCCCTCGATCAGCTCATCAAAGGATCTAGTTGGAAAATCTTTGTATAAACAGAGCCAGCAGCCAATGAACTGCTGGCTCTGTTCGGGTATCCTGACAGCGGCCCCCACAGGCAACTGGAGATCCCTCAATCAACATTTGTAAGCGATGGAGGAATCTGTTCAATTGTTTTTGTTCAGCCTACAGGTTGAAGGAAAAAAATAGAAGTATATGGCCAGCTTTAGGGACCAGCTGAAGCCAGTCCACCCATACTTGGTAGGGGCACTCCCGAAGAGAAATCACCAAATGGGGGGGGAGTCCTGTTAAGGCCACAGATCCTCCCCCCTCAACATAAGGGTAGGCCCCTGAAAGACCTGCACCATTCTTCATCTGTGGAATGAACTGTATATAAAAGTGCCACCATGCAATAAATAAATAAAGAGTGCCAAAAGCAGGACTTATGGCAGGTCTTATGGCCGCTATAAAAATAGCTCTAGATCACTGAATGTGAAAGTGTGATCACTTTTATTTGCAATTAAAACAAATAAAAACCTTTTGAACGAAAAAAAAATAGCTCTAGATTAGCCAAAAAGCCTGCTAATGAGGCATGTGCAAGAAAAGCAATAAGAAGACCGGGCCTTGTGCTGATTCCACACAATGAAGTTCCGAGTCCCATTGTGTTTTTCCAGTACCATTGGGACGTCAACGCCAGGGGGCCATTCACCTGGAGCTCCTTATGCTTCCAACCCCTGGCTAGATAACGGCATCCCTGCTCCTTAGCACCGGAGGGATTCCTGTCTACAACTGGGGACAAGCCTGGTACACCAGGCCAGAATGAAATCAGGAGGAAAAGGAACCCCACCCCGGCACTCACCTATTAAACCAAGGAATCCTAAACTGTCATCCGCTGGTATATACCATTGTCCTGGCACAACGTCTTGCTGCCCCACACTGTTGTACATTGTCAAAGACAGGCTGGAGGGAAGGTACATTATCCAGGACTCTGTTGGAGAGATTTACCCTCACTTCCTGTCCTGCTGACAAATGTTTCGCCAGACAGGAAATGAAGGAAAATCACATACGGAAATAATAATCTGACAGGGGTTCAGGGGTCTACTAAAGAAAAGTGTTTATTTTATTTCTGTCTGTGTTGCTGTTGCACATTTCCCTCTCAGTACCAGTCTGGTAAAATAGCAGTACAGGAAGTAAAGATAAATCTTTCTAACAGAGCCCCAGATAAAATCTGACAGGGGTTCCAACCCTTCCCCACTCTATTCAAAATTTTAAAAAATGTTTTGGCTGGACATACACTATAACCACTTCCTGTCCGAAGCAATGTCTTAATTTTTGCACACACATGATAACATTTTAAACCCAAATTTTTGGTAACATATATAAGAGCCTAAGTGTGCTGCCATCACACAGATCGCGGGGGTTCAGGACATGTTGTGAGTGACACTGTGTGTTTTCTCTCTGCAGGTCCGGGTCATGTCGGGTAAATACAAAACACAACAAAAATCTCCAGCACACCTGCCAGCTGGCCTGCAACAAAACAAATTACCCTGTCTAACGCTATACATGAAAAGCAGAGGTTTTAGTTGCACAAACCTTTGGCCAAAAATATTTAGAAGCCACACTGCCGCCATCAAGGCACCTCTGTAAAGTGTGGTCCTAACTCTATGTATATGAGTCTCCAAGTGGGAGCATATTGATGCAGTGGAGAAATTGAATGCAGGTGTACCAGGAGGTAGCCTTCTCCTCCTCACAAGGTGTGGGGACGCACTGGAGGCCCAGCAACCACAGATGCATGCTGGGATGTATGTCGGGTAAATAGATACCAAACATGTCAAGCCATAAAATTGTGCATGCCCGTGAAATGGCAAAGACTCAACAGTACCCAAAACTGACCAAAGGCAATGCTTCAAAAAGCCTTTAGCGCTCATCAATTTCATGTTAACAGTGACTGATGGCCCTAGAATTATTGCTCTCACTCTGATGTGAGACATCCAATAGAGATGGGCTGCTTATGTGTTTTTTTTTTTTTTACACAAGAATTAACATGCTTTGCATTGCTCTGTGTTTTAGATGTATTGACTGGCAAAATGTGGATCAATGGAACCAAAATGCAGCTAGGGTGTCCATCTGGCTGGTGTTTTACCAACATGCGCCATAAAAATGAGACTTCTCACTAATGTTAATGTTTTTTACACTTAACTTTATTGATATCACATAGGAGACTAAGAAGCCCCCTATGTGATAGCCAATTTACGTAACAGGCCCTCTTTATGGAGACATTAGGGGTCTCTAAGACCCCTAATGTCACCTAGGGACCCCCAGAGAAACTGCTGAAGCAGCTTCTCTCTGGCTTCTGTAGCTGGAAATGACAGCTAATGTAATATACATCACTTTCTGCATTGTGACACCGGAGAGGATATCAGAGAGAGATTGTGTACTGAACTCCCTCTGATCTCCGGTGATAGAGCCACCATGCCGGTCCCAGCCTACAGTGGATCTCGGGACTGGCAGCCGCGGCTACGAGGGCACACACCTGCACAAAATACAAGTGATCCAGCGGCTCTATAGCCGCCGGAACACTGGTATTTAAACAGCCATTGCTGGCTGTTTGCATTATAGGTAGTTTTTCCACTCGTGTGCGTGCTGGGCGTCGCATACGAGTAGGGGTGGGGAAGAACGTTTTAAAGGGCCCACACGCATCTACAAGGCTCCCGTCCGGCCGTTTATGTATGGCCGCTGGACAGGAGGTGGTTAATTTAGTCTGGTATGGCTTCTTTATTAGATGCAATGTGGTGGTAAAATTCCAATGCGTTTCGGGGTCACGTTGGCTTTTTACCGCTACATTGCAATAAAGAACCCATATCCTATGAAATAACCAGTGTGGCGATCTCATGTTTTCCAATACTCTATAAAATATTTCCAGGGACTCCTAGGGATACCCCTGTGGTTAGGGCATCCCTTCTCAACCAGGGTGCCGTGGCACTCTATTGTGCCTCCTGGTTTCCTCAGGGGTGCCTCAAACTTTTGTGGTAGTGGGACTGTTATGTGAAGGGGGGAATGAAGACTGAGGTAAAAGGGGCTCCTGATGTAAAGGAGGAACTCGAGTGTGAAAGGGGGGGACTGCTATGTGAAGGGGGATTGAAGAATGAGGTAAAAGGGGCTCCTGATGTAAAGAAGGAACTCGAATGTGAAATGGGGGGTACTGTTATGTGAAGGGGGAATAAAGACTGGAGTAAACCGGGCTCCTGATGTAAAGAAGGAACTTGGATGTGAAAGGGGTGTACTGTTATGTGAAGGGGGAATAAAGACTGGAGTAAACCGGGCTCCTGATGTAAAGAAGGAACTTGGATGTGAAAGGGGTGTACTGTTATGTGAAGGGGGAATAAAGACTGGAGTAAACCGGGCTCCTGATGTAAAGAAGGAACTTGGATGTGAAAGGGGTGTACTGTTATGTGAAGGGGGAATAAAGACTGGAGTAAACCGGGCTCCTGATGTAAAGAAGGAACTTGGATGTGAAAGGGGTGTACTGTTATGTGAAGGGGGAATAAAGACTGGAGTAAACCGGGCTCCTGATGTAAAGAAGGAACTTGGATGTGAAAGGGGTGTACTGTTATGTGAAGGGGGAATAAAGACTGGAGTAAACCGGGCTCCTGATGTAAAGAAGGAACTTGGATGTGAAAGGGGTGTACTGTTATGTGAAGGGGGAATAAAGACTGGAGTAAACCGGGCTCCTGATGTAAAGAAGGAACTTGGATGTGAAAGGGGTGTACTGTTATGTGAAGGGGGAATAAAGACTGGAGTAAACCGGGCTCCTGATGTAAAGAAGGAACTTGGATGTGAAAGGGGTGTACTGTTATGTGAAGGGGGAATAAAGACTGGAGTAAACCGGGCTCCTGATGTAAAGAAGGAACTTGGATGTGAAAGGGGTGTACTGTTATGTGAAGGGGGAATAAAGACTGGAGTAAACCGGGCTCCTGATGTAAAGAAGGAACTTGAGTGGGAAGGGTGGCTCCTGATGTGAAGGGGCTAATGATGCAAAGGTTGACTCTGATGTGAACGGTGAGAGAATCTTAATTTGAAGGGGGCACTTCTATGTGAAGAGGGAAAGCCATTTTTTATTGTGCTTTTGCGTGGGGTTCCCCTTAAAACCTAAGACATTTTAGACTTGATTGCGTTGAGATTTTGCATACTTTTAAAGGGTGCTGTGACTGTAAAGGGCAGGGCAGGTTTAAAAAGGTCCTTTTGCAAATTAGGTTGTCTTCAGTCCATGTGTTGGAAAATATACACCAACGTATCCGTTAACGATCCTCCATGACGTAAGCTTTCATGTCGTCCACCAAAAGTGAATAATTAGAATATTATGTTGTCACTAGTGTACACAGAATAGAGATAATTGATCAAAAGCGGAACAGACAGTATCTTGAGCAGTTGCCCATGGCAACCAATCAGCTTCTCTTTTTAGTTTGTTGAGTTATGCTTTGAAAATGAAAGACTGAAGCTGATTGGCTGCCCTGCCCAGCTGCTCCAGTTTTGATAGATTCCCTTCGATTATTGTCACCTCCACTTTCTTGACAGTAAAAAGTCATTCCGAAATGTCATTTTTTGGAGTCATTAGAACAGAAAGTGCCACATTTCTCCACGGTTCGGCTTCAACTTGCTCTACATGACAGTCAATAATGAGACGGAATGCCCGTGAAGAAGACTTGTGTCAATAAAAATCAAATTCTAGGGGCTTCCCAGGCATGTGCGAGCTGTGCAGCGCTGGCGGAAAGGCAGCACACACAGGGACTTTTTTGTTATCTTCTTCAGCGCTGGGCGGAGGGATACCAGAGTGAGGCCGCTGTGTGTGTGAGGCTTGTTGTTTCCTCCTCCCTCCGCCTGGCTTTGCATGGTGGAGAGCGGAGGCTTCTCTTTCTCCTTCCTGCTCCAGACCCTGACAGCTCCAGCTCCAGGGGCAGGGCCCGGGGATCCGCTCCGGCGGCAGTAGCGGGAGGAGGAGGAGGCAGTGCAGGCGAAGGAGGAGGGGGGGATACCCAGCTACCCCAACATGTCCTCCTCCAGCAGCCAGCACAGCACCGAGCTGAAATCCGGTACGGGCACCCTTCCCTGCCCCCCTCCACCGCCACCATTCCCAATAAACAATATGTATATGGATCTATAGAGTATGATGTCGTGTACGTGCCCTCATCCTCTGTTTCTGTGTCTTGCAGAGCTCTATTTCCTCGTTGCCAGATTTTTGGAAGATGGACCCTGCCAGGAGGCAGCTCAGGTATAAAACCAGCCAGAGGAAAGGGGGTGGGTCCCCCTTGATTAAGCCTGAGTGGGCTGCCAGCCCCCCAATATGTGCCATCACACAGATCGGGGGGTCCCAGACAAGTCGTGAGTGACCCCGTGTGTTTTCTCTCTGCAGGTCCTGATCAGAGAAGTGGAGAAGAAGGAGGTGAGCGAGGGGCACAGCGGCTGGGGAGTAGAAGGACGGGTGACCCCCCATAATGGGAGTGAGGGTGTTGATTAGTGTGCCCCCCAATACCTGACTCTGCCCCCCCCCATATGTAGGACTCACGTCGATCTATTTCTCCTAAGACAAGGAGAGAATAAATGCCAAGGCTGAGCGTGCCGCTCCTCCCCCTCCCTGCCAGGCAGCGTTTTGTAGGGGGCGTGGGAGCCATCGCTTCGGTATTGGGGGGCTGCGGAGCGGCTGAGCCTGGACATCGCACCCCCCTTTGATCAGATTGCCCCCCCGTCCTGAGCCTGGAAGCGGAGAACCCCCGGAAATAGGGGTCCGATCGGGGGCTCCAGCCTCTCCCCATGGATCGGCCCCACATCTCATTTATAAAGAGAATATAAATATAAGTGGTTTTTGATGGGATTTGACCAGGAGGTGAGCCAAGCGCTAACACAGCCCTCCGTCTTGTCTCTTTATTTCGCAGCTGCTCCCCAAAAGGGTCGACTGGACGGGCAAGGAGCACCCCAGGACTTACCACAATTTGGTGAGTCGAGCAAAAAGTTTTTTTATGACCTTATATTTTCACACAGTCAAATAAAAATTGAATTTCCCGCATTTTTTCTACTTGCTACTGCTGGTCTAGTGCCTGCAATAAGCCTGCGGAGGGTCGGAGCGGGGCCCATATGGCCACCTTCCCCGGGGCTGAGGTGTGCACACGGGGCGCGGTGCCCGGGTGGCTGGTACGGGGGATCGGGGATGGCAGGCGGTAAAAAGTCGGGGGGATGCCATATAGATATGCTGGAAATACAACAGACGTCATGGATGTTGAGCGGAGGAGAGCTGGAGGAGGGACTTGCAGCCCTGGAAGCAGAAATGGAGAGGAGGGGGGTGAAGGAGGAGGGATCTCTGTGCTAGCATCACACTAGCAGGCTCTCTCTGCACACATCGCCAACATATACCAGCTCCACTTCATCAATTCTACCTTCAATCGAATCCTCAACACTATTCCAGCTGCAGTGAGTACAGGCAGTTTGTATATTTACACTGCACACTGATAACCAGGATTTTCTTGTCACTGCTTTTATAACACATTTCCCCAAATATCTAGATGAGTGTTTACAAATATCAGTCTACGGATTAATAATGTTTATAAATATCAGTGTACTTTAATGTTTACAAATATCAGTCTACGGATTAATAATGTTTATAAATATCAGTGTACTTTAATGTTTACAAATATCAGTCTACGGATTAATAATGTTTATAAATATCAGTGTACTTTAATGTTTACAAATATCAGTCTACGGATTAATAATGTTTACAAATATCGGTGTACTTTAATGTTTACAAATATCAGAATACTGATTTAAAATGTTTAGAAATATTAGCATACTGTTGTGTGACGTTTCTGCTCAGTCCTCTTAGTGTCTGCACACTTG